AATTAGTTAGAAAACAAAAGACGGAAATCTATTAAGTTTAACATTTAGACTTTTACAGCTATGATGAGAAACGTTTAAAATTTACAAGAACCCTGTCGCGTCTTTTGAGGTATATTAGTGATGCGACAAAAGAAACATTTGACATTGCCAAATCCCGAGGGTATCGGCACCCTCGGGATTTGGCAGCCCGCGTGCATGTACAGTACACACCGCACACCTAGCAGGACCGTCTCTGATTCCACTCGTAGGGAGCTATTTGACTAAGTGGTTAAGATTTAAAGAGTAAAGAATATTTTATGTTATTTTCATGCACGTTTCATTACAAAGTTATATTTGCTTGAATTTCGTTTCTTCTGAGATCGCAGCAATGCGCGACGGGTAAGCTAGTATTTAAATAAATAGATGTTATATGTTTTTATCAAAGCAAGAATTGGCATTTAGAGGGCATATGGAATATATTGGATCTAATAACAGAGGTAATTATAATGAACTTGTTTATTAAGTACGTCAGATAAATAATCTATTAAAAATACATTTAAAGAAGGAATTAACTGATTGCCCCTGGATGTCGGCTTCTTATAGAAACACAGCTTCCCTATCATCAAATGTCACGGCACGCCCCTGAAATTAAGTAAATCTTCTCACCAACTGCCAAGTTTTATACCATCTGTTTCAGGTTCAAGCCCTCTAGTGGTGAACACGAGTTATCTTTGATTTGCATATAGTTACAATTTCATGATGAACTCAGGATATTTAATTCTAATTATCAATTAGAGTTCAGACTATGTACAAAAAATTATTTAATTAATTTTTGAGTCTATCAAATCCTTTTTTCATTCACCATTTTTTCATTTTTGTACATTTCCTCCACAACCACCACCACCTGCCCTACCACCCCATCTTGTGAAGTTCTTCCTTATACCATAGTCATTCAGTTAAAATGTACTATATTGATCTTATTAGAATGCCTTTGAAATTTATTCGAATTTAAAACATCCAACTGATAATATATTTTTGTTCTAGAACATGCTTTGATCTGGAAGTTCAGACATCACCTCATCTTGGAAAATATTTTATTGCATTAAATAAGTGGCTTCTTTAATGTTTATTAATGGTTTTGGTCTTAACAGGAAATGATTGCTGGATTACATTCAGTTGTAACAATGCTCTCCCCACACACATCACATGGTGGGATGTGCAAACTTCATAACATTGTCGCCAGTACAAGAGTCCAACAGGCCGGCCACATTTATCATATGGAGAACAAATAGGATCCCTAAAGTAGCCATGAAATGGGTTCTTCCTGGTGCCAAACAACCACAAGGACGCCCTAGAAATACTTGGCATACATCCTATCTCCAAGATCTGAAGATACTCAATATGACGTGGGAGGAAGCTGAAGTCCTCAACCATGATCAAAACCAATGGAAGATAATCGCTGCCCGGTATGCTACTTAGCATTGGAGAAATTCAACTACTACTACTACTACATAACAATGCTACTCCTTCTAATTATGCCTAGGGAATGTTAGTTGTGCCTCATTTTTCCCAAAAATTAAAAAAGAACCATCTGCTCCAGAACCATTTGAATTTTTAACTTTATCAAGAGATGGCATTGTTCCTCTAGGCTAAATTACAGCTGAGTCCTCATAAGTTGACTGTTGGAATCAATGATTGCAATGTTCTGTAATGTTCTGACATAATAAAAAGTTGGTGGCGCTCTTGACCCCTCGGGCAAGGTGACCTTGTTTCACTATCCCCTTTCTAGCGCTGACCTTCCGGGAGTAAAGACTGTGTGTAATCTTTCTGCACTCTTTGTTCTTTTGTTACACAACCGGTTACGTTAATCCAACTGCCTTTTTACTAATCTCTCCAAAAAGCAACATCCAGTCTAACATCGACACCCCAAGAGAAAGTGAAAATGTGTCAAGTTATCCGATATGACAACTAAAGCGAAGTTGAAAAGACTACAATACTACAATTAGGAAAATACAGTAGTGCAATGTACCTCTCTGACTATCCATCACCGGCACTACAGTTGGTTTCTACTTCAAGTACCCCAGCAATTTCCATCGCCTTTTGTTTCAGTATCAGTCCTGAAACAGGAAGATTCGATGAATGAATTCGCTTTAGCCAACGTATGAGAGCATCATCAACATTTTTGTATGGTAATTTTCTTTGACAGCCACAACAAAAATCCAACATAAAGACTTTTTAATTTTTTTTTTCTTCAGGATTCCCGCCAATGTTGTTTTTAAAGGTTTTTTTTTTTTTTTTGTTTTGCAAATTCACCTTGCAAAGTTTTCTTACATTGAAATTCAGAAACAAGTTCATATTTTTCCTTTAGCATAAGCATTGTTAGCTTTCGGACACTCATTTCTAACAGTAATGTGAAACACGTGCTACAAATAATACACGACATGAGAAAATGCAAAATTGGATTCTGCTGTGACGTTGATATAGATTTGTATATTTTCTTTTTGTTTATCTGTTATTTTATATATAAAAATACATTAAATGTTAAGGCATTTTTATTAATATGTATATGTTAATAAATAAGTTGACTTCCCTCCTGAAAAAAATGAGTTTATATCACACTGTGTGGTGTGAACTCATTTTTTTCAGGAGGGTAGTCAACTAATCAGACGTGTAAATGAGTGTGGGACAGCAAAATTATGTCAATTTATCCAGCGGTGACGAGTTAAACACTGTCAAGATTCCAAAGTTTTTTTAACATTAATGGCTATGTAAGTCGGCCAGGACCACAGAAAACTGACTACTTAACAAACGGTATCGAGTTATACCTATAACGACTTATGTGGACTTATGTATTTGACTTTTAAATAGTAATTAGTAGTATTAACTTATTATTGCATAATGTAATCCAGCAATTGTTTGGTGTTAAACTAAAAATAAAATGATTGGATGTTCATATTTCTTTTTGATCTTTCCATGCTATCTGTTGAGTTTGTTTTTTTACTAAAGAATATATTATAATTTGTTTTTAATTTCAGTTGAGGACTAGTGGAGAGACATATCTTACTGTGCATTTACCTTTATATGTTTCCTATATTTATGCTTCTGCTCCAACTGGATGGATAACAATGGAACATCATACTGAATTAGAATTTTCTTTTTCATATAATACAATGTTGTGGAAGACTGGTGTAGAAACAGATGGTTTGTACCATTCCAGATTACAAATTTTAAAAGTTGTAATTACTAAAAGTGGTGCTCTGACAATTAAATTCAAAACACAAGCAAAATTCAGAGGTATGATTTTTTAAATTTAGATGTATTTTTCAGTTAAAATTTATTTTTATTATTGGGTTGTTCGGAAAGTAAGTTTCGGAAAGTAAGTTTTTACCGTGGAAAAAACGCAATATTCTTATAATAAATAAATATTTTATTGAATTATAAGTTGACCATTTTGGTCAAATATTTGTTGTCATCGTTTCTGGTAGTAGCACGATTTCACATTCATAAAAGTTTTGATCGTTGCTTACAAAAAACCGATCCAAGTGATTTTTGACATTGTCATTTCAAGTAAATGTCTTACAGTTAAAAAAAATTGTATAGACTGGAACAAGTAATAATCTGAGTGTACTCGATCTGGCGAATACGGTTGGTGTGATAGCAGGTCCCATCTAAGTTATAACAGTTTCTGACGAGTTACCAAACTTGTGTGAAATTTGACATTATTGTGGTAAAACACTACAGCTGTTTTTTTTATCAATTCTGGCTGGCTTTTTCTGTTTGATAATATTATGCAATTTGTTTACTCGAATGCAGTACACTTTCGAATCAATTGTTAAATTGTCTGGTAAAATCTCCAAAAAAAATTTCCTTAATATCCCACCAAATAGAGCATTTCTCTTTAAGAACTCGTGGAATTCATATATCGAGCTTTGAAACGAAACCAATTTGTTTCAAGTACTCATAAACAGTTCAATTTGACAAATTTAATCTCTTAGTGATTTCACGTGTTGTTATTCCGCAGTTTGCTTCAATCGGTACTTTTATTTTGTTTTCATTGGCTTCAATTGGCCATCCATAACGTGGTGCATCTTCAATACTGAAATTGCGAGAACGAAATTTTGTAAACCAGTTTTGGCACTGTCGTTCTGTCAACACATCTCCACCATACATGTCACACGATTTTTTTCTTGCTTGAACGGCATTTTTATTTTTTTGGTAATAAAAAAGCAAAATATGCCGAAGATGCTGCTTTCGATCTTCCATATTTGATGGGACACAAAAAATAAACAATTGCACGAAATCAAACAAAATTTTTTACAAATAAGCCATAAAATGCTAGCTGTCAAAATATATAATGATAATACGGTTTAGAACGAAAATGGCGGGAAAAATACCACTAATCCGTCTAGTGGTAAAAAAAACGAACTTACTTTCCGAACAACCCAATATTATTGTTATTATTATTATGTTGAATTTAGTGAGTTCTGACATTGGTTGCTGTGTACTACAGTGGACCAGAGTCAAGGTATAGCAACCTAAACAAGACAAAAATTAAATAAGTGTGTGTGTATGTGTGTGTACTAAGTTCGATAGTTTGAAGTTCAATAACCACTGTGGTTTGAATATTAGAACAAATTTTATATATATATTCAGCCTTATAACAAATAAGGTTGACGTCAGGAAGGGCATCCAACCATAAAACCTATGCCTAAACTACATGGAATGTCTATAACTATGTCAAATGAGCTGGGGCTACTGAACCAAGGACAGGTTTGAATAACGAAGTTAGTTCAGAAAGAGAAGAGGAAGAAGACAAGTATAAGAATAGGTACTTTAAACATTGGAACATTGAATGAGAAGAGTAGAGAGTGAACGTTTTGTGCGCCTGCAAGAGACAAGATGGAAAGGAAATAAAGCTAAAGAACTTGGTGAAGGATACAAGCTGTTTGTGAGTGGAGTGAACAAGGAAGGAAGGAATGGAGTTGGTATCATAATTGATAAAGTTCTGAAAGATAGTGTCTGTGAGGTTAAACAAAGGTGTAATTAGTATTATGAGTGTTAAGTTGGACGTTGGTGGAATTTTCATATTAGGATTGTGTGTGTGTGTTTATAGTAGTGGAGAAGAAGAAAAGATAAACTTTTGGACAGATCTTGACCAAGTTATAATGTGTGTTTCTATGAACGAGACATTAATTTGTGGCAGTGATTTAAATGGTCATGTTGGAAACAGGAATGGAGAGGGAGAAAGACTAGTCAATTATGCTGTGACTTTTGACCTTGCGTTAGTTAACACCTACTTTGAGAAGACTGCAGATCGACTGGTTACATACATGAGTGGAGGTAGATCCAGCCAGACTGATTTTTTTCTTGTGCCGCAGGAAACATCTGAGAGAAGTGAGAAACAGTAAAGCATTAAATGGAGGAAGTGTTGCTGTACAACATAAAGCGTTCTCCTGGTAGATTGTGACTTTCTTATGGGCCATTGTAAGAATTGTGTTAGCCAGATTGAACAAAGTATCAAATGGTGGAGATTGAAACTGGAGGAATTAAGGAAAGAGTTTAAGGTAAAAGTGTTAAAAGAAATCCAGTTTCCACATGATGTGCAAACATGGTGATTGCTGAATAATAATTGCATTTTGAAAGTTGGAGAAGAGGTTTTGGGAAAAACTTCATGGAAGAGATTGCCAGAAGGAAAGGAACATCGGTGATGGAATGCTGAGGTACTGTACAATCTGCAGTTAAACAGAAGAAAGAGGCAAAGAAAAGGTGGGATTTGTTGGGAAGGCCAGAAGATAAAGAAACCATTTGGCAAATAAAATGACTAAAAAGGCAGTGGCTATTGCAAAAGCAAATGCTTTAGAAGAGGCTTATAAAGTTTTCAAAAGAAAAAGTGGTGAATGGCAGCTGATGAAAATTGCCAAAGCAAGAGAAGGCATCAAAAGATTTTACCTGTATTAAACTGATTAAAGATGATAAAGGAGTGGTGTTACAAGACTACAAAACGGTCAAGAAAAGATGGAAAGAATATTTTAGGAATTTATTGAATGAAGAAAACCCCATAACTCATACAAGAATGGAGAGACAAATGAAGTAGTGGTGCAAGATATTAGAAGTGGAAAGTGTGCTTAGGAAAATGAAGATGGGGAAAGCAGTAGGCACTGATTGGATTCCAGTTGAGGCTTGGAGAGGTTTGGGTAAGGAGGGAGATCCCAGATGAATGGAGAGAGAGCATTCTTGTGCCAATCTTTAAAGATAAAGGGGATGTACAGAATTGCAGAAATTACAGAGGTATAAAGTTATTGCCCCATACTATGAAGTTTTGGGAGAAAATTGTAGAAAGAAGGATTACTCAAGAATCTGAGATTGGAGAGGAACAGTTTGGCTTTTTGCCAGAAAGGAGTACAACTGATGCTATCTTTGCTCTAGAACAGCTGATGGAGTCACAGGGAAATGCAGGAAGATTTGCACATGGTGTTCATAGATCTAGAAAAGGCGTATGTTAGATATGGCAAGAGATATGGAGATGTTTGAGGAAAAATATTTGAAGGAAATGTTTCAGGAAAATATGTTAGGCTCTTCAAAGAAATGTACCAGGGAGCAGATACCCAAGTTAAGAGTAGTGTGGGCACTACAAAAGGGTTCTTTGTTAATGTTGGTTTGCATCAGGAATCAGCCCTTAGCCTTTATTTGTTTGACCCGATAATGGATGTTGAATGTGTGTGATTTGAAGTGTGAGGCTCCGTGGAGTATGCTGTTTGCGGATGATATTGTACTGTCTTAACTTTCCCAAACCAAGGCTGAGAAGAAACTGGAAGATTGGAGGAAAGTTTTGGGAGAAAGGGGCATGAAGATTAGCAGAACTAAAACAGCTTATATGACTCTGAATGGTAGAGATGAATATAATATTAAAATTCAAAATGTGCCACTCCGTTTTGTTCCAAGTTTTAAATATCTTAGGACATTTGTTGAGATTGGAGGAGGATTGAACTGGAAGTGCAGCATAGAATTCCACGTGGATGGATGAACTGGAAGAAGCTGTGCGGTGAGTTATGCAACAAGAAAGTTAGCTGCAATCTGAAAGGAAAATTGTATAAATCAGTTGATAGACGTGCAATGTTATATGGAGCTGAGACATGGGGAATGTGAGGGTCAGAAAGTTTGTGTTATAAACTTTAATGTTTTATAAATTATAATTAAACTTTAAAAGCAAAGTTTATAAAGACGGAATAAGTTATTAAAAAATTAAAAGAGAAAAGGTAAAAATAAAATTGATAAATCAATAAAATCTCGATTCCCACGAGTTGAGTTTCTTGTTGAGATGAGTACATCTCTGTGTCACGATTGTGTCACCCGTCACCTCATTGGTCCAAGGAGATTGTCATCCCTGATGAAATCGGGGAAAGACCTGAAAAGAGGACTTCATATAAAAAGGACAGGCACGATGAGTAAGGGGTGGAAGTTATGAATTGATTGTGTGTGTGAGCTGCGCCAAGATTTTCTTCAAGAGACTGTTTCTGTTTGTCAAGCAGCACCTCCTCCTCCCCTACTGAACTCAAAGATATCAAAAATTCACCTATTTAACTAAGAAGAGAACTGTGGGACTTTATTGCTGTTACTCAAAAAACAGAATAATATAAGGTATTTATCCTGCCCACGCACTATTGTACGTTCTCTCTCCACATAAACTAATCGCAAACTCGATTGTAACTAGAAACCAGAAATGATCTAATGAGATCAATGCTAAATGCAATTCAACGTAGCCAATACTAACGTTATAATTTTAAATTCTGATGTATAACTAACGTAGATTTAATATAAATAAGCGGTTATTTATGTTTAAACATCTTTGAGTGCAGTTTCTTCCGTTCTTCTCTCCGTTCACTCCATTCCGAGTCCAAACCTCATACGTAACCGCTCACGCGAACTTGTGGTCTCTGTATCAACCTAAGGATACAGTGGTGTCATCCTGACGTGGTATCGAAGAGATACTGACCCGACAGTCACAGGAAATAACAAGAGCCCGAGAAAGAAAGATGGAGGTGGTGGAGATGAGAATGTTGAGATGGCTGTGTGGAGTGTCAAGGAACAATAGAATAAGGAATGATTTTATTAGAGGTTTTATTGATGTGGGTGCATCGAGCAAAAAGATGCAAGAATGTAGGTTGAGGTGGGTTGGCCATGTAGAGCATAGAAGTTACAATTATGTTGGAAAGAAGATTGGAAAACTGATAGTAAAAGGAAAGAGGTAAAGTGGAAGATCAAAGATGCATTGGAAAAATAAGGTGGAAGAAGACTTGAACCAGGAGGACTTAAGAGAGAAGAAGCCGTTGATAGGGAGAAATGGAAGAAACATATTAGGGAAGGAAATGACGACCTCATATAAACATGGGAAAAGGCAATGATGAAGAAGAAGTGTGTGTCTGTATTCAGGAATTTTTTAACAATATGACATGTAATCAATGTAGTTGCATTCTGTAGTGTGATATATCAATTGTAATATGCCCAGGCTTTTGTGTAGTGTATGTTGTATGTTGTAACGATATAAAATATTCTAAAATATTTTATATTTACACAAAAATTTTAAGATAAAATATTATTAAATATTTATCATTAAAATAAGATATAAAATAATACTATGCAATAATAGCATAATAGCCAAATGTTCTAAAACAAAAATTTTAACAATATTATTTTATAATATTTTATATCATTAAATCATGCTATTATTGTATGGTGAGTTTGGTATGTACCATAGTTTTTACTAGAAAAGTATCTTGTTGTTTGAGAATAATGTATTATTATTATTATTTGATAGGACTGTTTATTTTGGAACACCCTGTGATTAGTGATTTAAAAAGTCAAGTTAAACCTCCTGCAAATCTTACAATATCCTTCAATTTAGAATTATTATGGACTGAACAAACTTTTGATGGACCAACACAGCTATGGAAAACTACCAGCAAGTATAATTTAAAGGTAAAATGTCAAAGCATTTGTCTTTCAATGTGTAAAATTCTTACATGAATATTTATAAGTATTGATTATCATTTGTAGGATTACACAGGATTATATATAATTGAACTTATTCCTTGCACTGTCCGGTCTACACAATCTTATTCTCAAAACTTTTTAGAAATTTGCACAGCTTATCTTCCAGAAAAGTATGTATTGGAAAATATTTTTATTATTGATTCTTATAGTGGTAATATATAGTGATTGATTCTTATATTTTTGTAATCATTTTAGGTCTAGCCTAAACTGATAACATTAAGCAGAGTAAGTAAATATGTATTATATGGGGAAAGCAGACAAACTATGTTTAATTTGGAACAAAGACAACATAAATTTCATTTTACAAAATAGATTCAAAGGCAATTTTTAAACTATATGATGATGGAATCTCAGCTCTAAGCATATATTTCATAGCAATGTAGAGTAGCTGTGAATTCCAAACAATATTCTTCACAATAAAACATATAAAAGAGGATTTAGTAGACTTGCAATAACAAAAGGAACCCCAACCCAAAACAGTTTTATATATATATATATATATATGTATAACTTCTGATATTATAGCTTCATACACACCAGAAAATCCAGCAAAAAGTAATGTTTAATTATATACAAGTAGAGACCCCCCTATAACGCTTAGATACGTTCCACGCTAATCGAATTTTACGTTGTAGGAATGATTAAATACATGAGCCAATCTCAACCCGATAGGTGTGAACTTTACGGACTAAGGCTGTTTGAAAGGTTTTCTTCTATAAAATTAACCGATTCTAGACTAATTCCACTCAACATTTCCAAAACACGTATAATTTTTTGGGAATAATCTGTATAAACTATGCTATAAACAAAAAATTATAGGATTACTTACCGAGTGTGTACCGTTCGACTACGCCGTTGCTTAAAGCTGGTTTTCATCGCGGAACAGCACATGAAACGGCGGCCGCGATTTCTAATAACGAATTTTTCGCATAAAAATAACTTGACCTTTGGAGACATCATTAATATAAATAATTTTTATGGCCGTTGAATAAGAAGTGTTTCTTTCACAAGAAATGTATAAAATTAGTGCTGTATTAGACTTACGGTACCTAATTTACATACTGTACAGACGATAATAAACTCAACTTACTAGCCTAAAATCTCCGTAGCGTGTTGCCAGGCGGCAGAAAGCATATATATAATTATAATAAAGTTACAATAAATTAAGTTAATATATAATTATATATACAGTACCTAATTTATATATAATTAATATATAATTATATGTACAGTACCTAATTTATATATAATTTATATATAATACTAAACAGACGATAGCAAACTCAATTTAGCCGCTCCGTAGCGTGGCGCAGAGTCGGAGGAAAGTAGTTCGGCTGCTCATCCACTATTGGTCCAGATTCTATCAATCTTGTCGCGAAACGACGTTATAGGAGGTACTTTATACGAATGTTTCTACAATTTTTTCGCTACGTTATAGGAATTGTCGTTATAGAAACGCACGTTATAGGGGGTCGACTGTAAATGAACATTTTCAACAATTTAAAATTGTCATCTCCAAGAACACAAAACACAAGCAAACACTTACCATATATCTACTCCATACTACTAATAAATAAATAGTTTTACAAAAATTTAGTATATATTGAGACAACTGTTAGAACTTAAGAGAAAAGAATCAAACAGCATATTGTAACGTTTTTTCACTTAGGTACACTTATTATTGTAATTCCGTTTGCTTGAGAGAGATTTTATGGGGATTATATATATAAGATTACAATCTGATCCTGTTTAATAACGGGATGTAAACCCAACAATATCTGAATCATAATAGATTGAGCCCAACAATATCTAATATACTAAATCACTATATATATTAAGTATGTACTGTACAGTACATTCCCAATAACATTTACTTAGTTATTCAATCTCAAGTTCCCATTTCTGGATGTCCAGTCTGTAACAGGGGCATGCCGTGACATTTGATGATAGGGAAGCTGTGTTTCTATAAGAAGCCGACATCCAGGGGCAATCAGTTAATTCTTTCTTTAAATGTATTTTTAATAGATTATTTATCTGACGTACTTAATAAACAAGTTCATTATAATTACCTCTGTTATTAGATCCAATATATTCCATATGCCCTCTAAATGCCAATTCTTGCTTTGATAAAAACATATAACATCTATTTATTTAGATATAATATATCTATTACCCATAATTATCTCGTTACAATTTTCAATATTTATTTTATATTATTTACTAATGTTAAATTCTATTCCGCTTCGATTTCCAAATTGCTTCAAATACGAAAGAATCGACGATTTTTCGTGTCTTTTGCCAGCTAAATTGTCAAAGACATTCTTATTCCACACACTAATTTCACTCTGTAAATGCATTTTTATGCATTTACAGAGCCATTTTATCGTGAAAATATCGAACAAATTTTTTTATTGAAGCGTTTATATTTAACTTAGGCATTGGCCGTTCTCTTTTAATAATGTTTTCTTTTTCATTATATGATCTCGAGCCAAAACTTTTTTAAAATAAATTTTCAATATCGCAATTACATTCCGAATCGCTAGCCACGATATAAGGGCTAAAATTAAAAATAAAATTATAAAAACTTACTTGGTGAAATAAAATGTGTGGTGGATATACATACCTGGTACAAAACATTCTTCAATTGTATGAATATACTTTTAAAGAAAATTATAATTAAATATAGCTTTGTAATGAAACGTACATAAAAATAACATAAAATATTCTTTACTCTTTAAATCTTAACCACTTAGTCAAATAGCTCCCTACGAGTGGAATCAGAGACGGTCCTGCTAGGTGTGCGGTGTGTACTGTACATGCACGCGGGCTGCCAAATCCCGAGGGTGCCGATACCCTCGGGATTTGGCAATGTCAAATGTTTCTTTTGTCGCATCACTAATATACCTCAAAAGACGCGACAGGGTTCTTGTAAATTTTAAACGTTTCTCACCATAGCTGTAAAAGTCTAAATATGTTAAACTTAATAGATTGTCCGTCGTTTGTTTTCTAACTAATTCGTTTTAGGACCAGGTGTTGTCCACGGAAATTTCCAAAATTTACAACTTTTCGGTCACTCTCGTCGAACTGGAAAAATTTCTGTCTTTATTACATCTAATACAGTATTTCGAAGAAATCAGTCCCCACTGTACTCGGCTATAGATTGGTTCGGTTAAGCTTTTGTTTAAGTAATATTCCGGCTCTTTCGTCAGGGTTTTGTTTATGTCCCCAATTCCCTAATCGCTTAATTATTTAACTACTACTTAAGTAGAAATAAGTCGAAACCGGTTACTTTGTACTCGAATATTTGTAGTCTCGGGAAAAAGTGGAAAGACAAATTTTTATGACAACGGATACATAAATCGTAAATTTAAGGAAAATAAATTCTAGAGCCTTTTCTGTACCTCGTGCATCTCTCTCATTCATTAAATTTAGTTGTAAATGATGTTGCCAAAGTAACAGTTAATTTTTTAACATTATACAAGAATTGTACACGTGTTTTTCTACATCCCCTTAAAGATGGGATGTACGAAATCGTAATATCACTGGTTTAACATTAAATTCCATGAGTAATATAAAATCGGACAGCGGAATAAAAATATCAAATATTTTAATGGATTTTTTTTAACTCCTGTCAATTATACAGAACTATCGTAAAAACATAGTAAATTCTTATCGGTTGGGTTAAGTTATAAATGTACTCGCGATTTGCGTAATCGGGCGAGGGCAGCCAAATATCTAGCGGGCGGGCGGCTAACGGCCCGGAACCGGTCCCGGATAGAATTGGATGCGGTATACGCGTAGCATCCACCCAAGGTCCTAGGCTTCCACCGGCTAAACCGATGAGGTTGGTGCTTTGTAAAGCGCATGCTCGAACCTGGCTTTTTGGATGCTGACAATACAGCGCTTTTACTCCGCTACTAATATTTGAATATACGATAGCGATTTTTTTTTCAAGTGTAGTATAGAAATTTGTAATAAGATACATAATATGGTTATAATAAAACATTGTGTGATTATTTTCATATAATTAAAATTAATATGTATTTATTTTTTAGAAAATACAAGGGAAGCGGCGCATCCACCGCTTTCAATGATGGCACGCCACTGTTCCTTTTATTAAGAGTGATGGAGTTCTTTGTTCCTACACATGTTCACCTTTCTTTCTTCTCTGATGATCTCTTCTTCCTGCTCAGTGGTCACTTCAGACAAAACAAAGCCCATTGAGGGAAAAGATGTTGTCATCTCAGTTTTCTTGTTCTTATACCCTTTCTATTCGTCATCTGCTCCTTTCCACAAATTGGAATGTCACAAAGGTGACTCGGTTGAACTTTTCCTGTCACACATATGACAGACAGACTGCTATCACCTCTAGCAGTAAGTTCAAATGAGGTGTTGTAATGGCTCAGGTAAAAAACGAACAAAAAGAAAAACAATATGGGATGGAAATACCACACTATAAAGTCAAGTTAAACTAATAAGTACCAAAACTTTATTAACGTAACAAAGAACTGGGTATAGACAACAGCTACTAACATAAGTTACAATCACAAAAAGGTTGTCACAGGAAACTAGACAAAGGATCTTGTACGATGTACAGTATATAGGCTTATGTGCCACCTAATGATGATCAGAAAAACTTTAACCAACACGCATATGACGCATCAACACCATTAAAAAGGCTTTATCTTCCACCACCTTAAGTGCATAATCATTAGAGAATGAAGTAGATATTTCATATGACTCGGCTTAAATCGTTCATCCTGTCTGTAACTGGTCACACTTAAAACAGCTTGTGAGGCTCCAGAAATGGTTCATAATCCCCATTAAATTTGCTAATATTTAATATATTTTTTGTATAAAAGTGATAAATAACAATTATGGAAAAGAAAACCCTTTCTAAGAAACATGACGAAGGAAGAGTAGGCAATGTAAGTCCCAAGATCAAATATCTGCAGTTGGGATCAAATTAAATGTTGATTTTGATTTATCCTGCAATCTAAGTTGAGATCTTGTTACATTTAGTAATGAGTGACTGATCACTCTGATTTTTCGACCCGTTCGGATTTGAACCCGGGTCCTCCAGAGCAGTAGGCTGCCACCTTGATCACCCCGCCATCCAGCTGCATATATATTTTTAATTATTATAAAATAGCAAAGACTTAATTTTGAGGGTAGAAACGAGTTTTATAAAATACTGTAAATGCTAACAAGTAAAATCTTTATTAAGTCTGATCCCTAATGAGATATGACATGTGACTACCCTCTATATCTCCATCCCCTCGACTTGCAATTTAAAATTTAATAGCATCAAAGCCTCTTATATATACGCTACCGTACCAAATTTCGTTTCTTCATTTTCACCCTGTTCTGAGATATTAAGCGAAATAGATGCCAACACACACACATACATCCATGGAATATTTTTCCTTTTGACGTCTTTGTGTTCAGGGTTTTTTTTTCTTACTCTTTCTGCCTTGTGGGCACTAAGAGGGCCTCTTTAAGTAAGTTCATTATAAATTCGACCAGGCTCACAATGGTGCAGCCGGGTGGTAAGGGACAGGCCCAACATATGAAAACGGACCACTTTCTGAAAACTTTTTGGGGAATTTTCGACCCAATCGGATTCGATCCTAGGTCCCCAGAGTGGTAGGCTGTCACCTTGACTGCTCAGCCATCCGGTCAGGGGTTTAAGAGGTCCCAAATCATGGAGATTTGCAACAAAATTTGTGAGAGTCAGTTTTGATACGATTCCAATACTTTCCCTTGATATGTATACATAATAGCTGGAAAAGTAAACCAATTGATCCACCAAAATAACATTTTAACGTACTGAAAAATATGAGGGAAAGTGTTTACTTCTGGAAACCAAACCAAATTAAATTGAATTCAGAAATGTTTTTGTTCTTTTATAAGAACTTCATCAGCCGTGTAAATTGCCGAATGTGTAGAACGAATACTTTCAAAACACTTTTTCTAACTGGGTTATTAATATTAACTCGAACGTCAAAATTGACTATCGACAAAAGATAGACAAAGTTTTAGTATTATTGCAGGTGTAGCAAAACACGAAGTGAAGATCATTCATTGCAAAACTGTCAATATTTATTTATGATGATGACTGTTTGAGAGTTTACTTTTTTCAGTTATAATCTATAACTGAAAAAAGTAAACCAAGAATCCCAGTAATATCGATTGAAATCTTCAATCGATATTACTGGGATTCTTGGTTTTGATACAGACAGTTAGAGAATCTCACCTATAATAGAATATTCTCTAAATACGTTACGTGATATAACACAAGGATACTATAGCCAAATAGACCTTTAGTACCAATAAGACAAGAGTACAGCACTGTACAGAAAATATAGCTTTAATTTTAGCATGCCACAAAGCGCTGTAAAATATTCTTAAATAATTTGCAATAATTTTCAATTTGTAATAAAATTCAATTTCTACACATTTATAAATTTTCTGCTTCATCTATATCAGTGGTTCTTAACCTTTTAGTGATGAGGGACCATTTATCAAAATTTTAGCCTTGCCATGGACCACGGGCTGTTTGGCAGTAATATAGGTTCTTATAAGGTTGATCTATAAATTAAACACGTAGAAAATTATTTGGAACCAAGAGTATTATATTATTTGCGAAAGTGTTACATTAATTATATTATTTTAGTGCGATTTTTGCGACTGCATACTGTTTACCAACTGCTGAATTCTTGGTTCGGTGCTACTCAAAGCAAATGCACGTCGGCACTGGCATCCAACCGATTTCGATGTTTGTTTTTAACTATCAAAAGCACTGAGAATCCTTGCTCGCACAAATATGGGGGTGAAAATAAAGTTAGGTACCGTACAGCAATTTCTCTAATTTTTTGGCTCCAAAAATCTTTAAGATTAATTCCTGTATCGAATGTATCCTTGCAGTTACCATCGTGTTGCATTTCAATTAACTCTTCTGGTATTTCGTCCGGCACCTCAGAAATGTTGACTATGAAAGGATTGCGGATCAGTTTCCGAATACCTTTGTCCTTGCAGTCAGGAAAATAGCGATTGAATTCATTTTTCAAGCTTTGCAAATGGAATGTAATATTCTTTTGTATTTGTCCTTTAATCCCAGCACACTGTCAATCAATAATTGGGTTCAATGTAGCAAACGCAGAAAAATTTTTTCTTTCGACTTTGCTGATCCATAGGTCGATTTTAGCGATAAACGCACTGATTTTATCTTCAAATGCAAATATATTGCTAGTGCCTTCCAATTTCATATTTCCTGACCCTTGCAGTTTGAAGGTACAATTTATTTAGTTGTGCAAAAAAATCCACTAAACAAGCAAAATGTATTTGAAATTTGAACTGACAGAACTCAGACAACAACTCTTTGTTTTCCTTATTAGTTAAGAATAATTTTACTTCTCTCAGTTCGTACAACCTCGACAACATATATCTTTTGGAAAGCCATCGCACATTTGTGAAAAAGCGGCGTTTGGTGTTCAGAGTTCATATCACTGCATAATTTTTTGAAGAGACGAGTATTAAGTGCACTCCTTTTAATAAAGTTGACTATTTTTATAGCTGTTTTCATCGTAATAGCAAAGTATTCTGGGAGCATTTTAGCAGCCAATGCTTGATGAGCGTTTTAGCAGACAATGTTTGAAACGTCGTCATTTATTTAATAATTTTAGGATGACTCCACAGACCACTTCTGGTGCTTTCAGGGACTACCGGTTAAGAACCACGGATCTATATCACCAAGTGCGTATGCCGGGAGAGGCAAACGGGTCACTCTGGCTTGGATCTTTCGGGGGCACACCAGTGGCCAAGCGGTTCCATTCCCGAACACTGGGAGTTCGGGCGTGGTTTCGTGCCTGGCCGGGATGGATGGCCGTGTGGAGTTTTCCGGGTTTTCACCACATTCATAACGCCCGAATAGGGGCCAGTTACCCTTAAAAAGACCTTCCCGAAAGGCATTCCTGTGAGGACGCAAACGGGGTCCGAAAAAAAAAGGCATTCAACGGCTTTTTAAACGAATCACGTGTCATAACGCGAAAGAACGAAATTATACATCCGAAATAGACAATGAAGGTTTTTCTCTGTAAAAGATTTAAAACAATATCAAGACTATAGGCGAGGAAAACGTGGCCGGAGAGGAGTCGTGTTTGGTCGCGAAGTTGACCTCTTCCGCGCACTTCATCGAGTCTCTAGTTGTCACCAGGTGACGATGGAAAGGCGACTGTGGTTGAAAAATTTATAAAACCGCATTTTCAAGGACATAAAAGGTTATTGGTTCGTAGTGCTCCCCTCCTGGGATTTTGTGTTCCCGTCCGTCAACAACGCAGTCTTTTTCAACGCCTTAGGACTTGGTTTCGCCACTCCGTCACGTCAAGAATCGCCCAGTACAACGGTCATCGGAGGACATCTCTGCAAGTTCTGGTTACCACGGGCCGTCACTCTCTCCGTCACCTGTGCTGGAAGCAACTCAACGATCGCCGGAACATTCGGACTTTTCCCTTTTTTTGAACTGTTGTGGTTGCCCACCGTTGGATAGGCATTTCGCCTGACATATTGAATACAGTAGAGCGTCGATTAACCGAAAGTCAATTATCCGAAAGAATTCCAGTCGGCAAATTTAAATTTTCGCCAGTGCTGTGGCACTGCAATCTTTGGCTTTGTCTTGGGCTACTCAAATATTTTACGTTTTTGATACTAAATTAACTTCTGAAGTATAATTTTGTATTGTTTTTATATTTTTCAATATATTTATTTTATTTTTAACGATACAATAGTCTTTGTTAGGCCTAACATCGACGAAAATTCAACACGAAGTGACACGCAACGGAGAAAAATTTCAACATGGAATAGGTTAATATCCATATGTTTCTATATTCAACGGTTGACTCAATGGTAAGAGAACGACGTTTCTAAATGGAACGTTGAGTTCTCCGTTGAGAGTAGTGACGTCAGCGCTGTTTCACCGTTGAGCTCAATGGTCTCAACGACCGGAAAGACCGTTGGAGTATTCAACAAACTAACATGCGGCTTCCATGAAAAAGTAAATTCCTCTTATAGAAATCGATTCGCTACTGTGGATGCTGTAATAGCGGACAGATTAATGAGCGATCTGTATATGATAAAACATATGATTGCACGATTATGTTGGATAATTTGGTCAATATTGAAATATTAAGATTTTTTTCATTTGTTCAAAATTGATTACGACCGATATTTGGCCCTTTAAGTCTTTCTAATGATATATTCAAGAAAGTAATTAAAATTATTTTAAAGAAAGACCCAGTAAACAAGAAAATGATAGATATGGGTTCATTTGAATAAAAGGATTTATTCGAATAATGGTTAAGCGAGTTACTTTAATTATTTAGCAAAACAGCCACAATCGCCACCTTCTCGTTACTTAAGTCAGCCATCTTGAAAAGTGTCCTCTCAACGAAAGCGTTTTCTTTTCTGCAAAATGTGACGTCAGATCATTCAACAGAGGGACTCAACGGAAAATTTACTGTTGAGTCAACTGTTGAATATAGAAACGTACTGTTCATTTTTTCGTACATAATCGGTTATCCGAAATATCGATTTTCCGAACAACCCCAGTCCCCAATTGATTCGGATAAACGACGCTCTACTGTAGTTGTAAGGAAATTTGTATATCATACGTATTTTTAAAGGGTAAACTTGTCTCAGTGAGTGCTTCCATGCCCACACGACTGTAAGACCGCTCGACTGTCGTGCTATCTTACACTTATCGGCTAACCCCACATTCTCCTAGGCAGCTTGCCCAAGTCTTTCTTTGCTGTAAGTTAACTATACAAACAAACAGACTTTTGGGATGGTTATTTTTCACACGTCCCAAAATTTGTTTCCTTCTGGAAAAGTTGCAACGGAAGTCCGTGCACACCACATTTTATTGTTTAATTATTACATAAATAATTTAATTGCTTTTTATGTCTATTTACAGTTATAATGTATTTTAATTTTCCTCAGATTTGAAATCCCCGTGGTTTTTCAACAAACAAACAGACCCGTACCGGTCGTTTACACTTTAAATACCATTTTTCAATTAGTCAATGATGAAAAAACGTTCGTGTTAAATCCTTACGCTTCGAGTACAAATTTATACGAATTGGACTATAAAGGCATTTTCTTTAGAGGTAAGTTGATTTTTATAATTAATTAATAATTGATACATCAGTTTCTGGCATTCGGCTACTGTAATAAAATAACAAAGGTATAAAATCATATTTTGGTTGATCGTAGTTTCTTTTAACTTACTACGTCCAAAGTGTTGGCTTATTTTAGGAAATTCAATCGCACAGGGATACATTAATCGAATATGTAGACTTTATTATTGTATTCCGGTAATACAATAATAAGCCAAAATGTAGGCTTAGTAAATTAAAATAAAATATGTATTTACTTGGTGCACCTTGCTTGTGTTATTACACTAGCAAGGTGCACCAAGGTAAAGAAAGTATCCACTTCTGCTTTTTTGGGTTACCAAAAATTCTTTATTCTAAATAACGTTTTCGACTTCTCTTTGGACGTCGCTAGTTTATAGCGGGACTCGTCAAAGTTTTGGATGGCGTGATAGCATTTGGGGACGACGAAAACTGGCGACTTGCAATGTTCCTCCGATACCGTTAGCAAAGACAGTTACGAAAATCTTTTTGATTTAAAGTATTTAATTAAATTAAAAATGGCGATACGGATACTCAGCAGATAATTATGGCGTTCGTACGCCTTGTCTGGCTGTGATCCACTACAACCTTTTAATTAATCTACTTTCCCCATTCAGTCTCACTCTACTGCTGTTTCTTTTTTTTTTTTTTTAACTTTTCATTGCACCGCACCAGCAAAGTTTTGCACTCTTCCAGACAGTAGTTTAATTACCGAAAGTAAAAGTTTGAATAATAATTTTTGGCCGTCGTTCCTCGGTACGGAACTACAACACGCACGCATCTTTGGCTGGCGTATTGTCACGGGGACTGTGTTTTTCCCGAACTGAATACTCGAGAATCTGGAGATGTAAAACTGAGATTATGTATAAAAGACTTGGATTTATTCGAAAAAAATGATGCGGAAGAAACCATACAAAGTAGGACTACAACATACATAATAATCTAATATTGTAGACCTATAAATTTCCACTGGCGTCCGCCGTTTGTCCTTCCCTAATCTCGAGAACCGAGTGAGATAGACGAAAGTTGATACCGGATACGGAAAGCTTAGCAAATAAAACGAACTTCCAGATTGGACCGGAATTCACGTTGTTTCCATTCAAAAATTTTCTCCCAAATGGAGTTAGACTCGACCAGGGCCTTTAATCTCGAGTTTTTCGTGTTACAACTCCCAATGTGTCGAAGGTGTCACGAAGATCACTCTCTGACGTCAAATCGGTAGTCTTTAGTTATAACTCACGTGCTTTACCATCTCTCCGTGTGAGTAGTTATGGACGACAGAACCATCCGGGCAAGGCCGAGAAAGGAGAACGGTCGAGGAGAAATTCTTCCGGAGACAAATTACTGCACGAAACAGAAATATTTCAAATTAGGCATTGGTGGATTGCGCGGAAACGATCGAAATAAGCCACTGCCGAATGCCATCGCAATCCAACAAGTAGGGTTATTATTATAGAAATGTTGGGCCGTGAAAGCAAAGAAGGGAGGCTCGGGCGGTACCCCCCTCCGAAAACGAGGGGGGTAAGTAGAGGCTGGATGGGTTTGCGTTATTTATTTGTGTGGTTTGGCAGGTCAGACGGTGTACGGAAGGGTGCTGTGGAATCCCGACCAGGACTTGAAATCTGCCTACAGTCTTCGCATCGAGAAGTTGTTTATCTGCGCGGGACGCGACGGATTCGTTCCGTTTTACGATCCTACCGGAGAAGAGTACGACCGAGGACCCGGGTTCGGTTGCATTCAAAACAGCCGACGTCTTCAACATCGGTTTCTCTTACTGGTAAGGTTTTTCTTTTTTCCTAATTAAGAAATTCCAGTTTAATTAGGTCCTTCCGTTATTATTCTGTGCCGATCTTAACGCCCTCGACGGGTTTGATCAAACCACACTCGTCGCGGGTTTTACCTGGCAGCCATTTCGTGCAGACCGTCCGTCTGGGACCGGCTCTGTCATATTTATTTTGTACACTGGAGAACTTTCTAAGGGAAACTGGTCCTATTTAGGCGCGCGGAAAACCCGGAAAACTATTGGCGTGGGGCGGTTTTATCCACTGGTCCTCTGGTTTTTTTATTTTTTCTGCCCGGTGGGCACTATGAAGGCCTCTTTTAGCCAATCCTTTATGGGTTCTGCCTGGCTCACGATGGGACGGCAGGATGGTGAGGGACGAGGGTTGACATGTCCGGTCAGACACCCCTGAAAAATTCCTGGAGATATTTCGACCCATTCGGATTGGATCCCGGGTCTTCCAGAGCGGTAAGGCTCTCTCCTGGATTACTCTGCCATCCGGCCTCGGGTACTCCGGAAAGTGACAAAAACCGGGAAGTTTTCTGCTGCGGAAACAGTCGAAGAAACGCTGGGGCGCGGTTTTAAAATGCCGGCACAGTTAACAGTCGGAAGTAATTTCTTTTACTCCGTCCCGTAGGCATCGACGAGGCCGGCCTATTTCTCCTCCCGGACAGCGACAAAACCTGTCGACGTTTCTCGGCCGGTAATCGGTACCGAGTGGCCTTGTTCTTTAATAGTAAGTCGGTTCATTCGTCGACCGTCTTTATTTTTATGCGGTAAACGACGGCTGCCATAAATCTACGCACCTCTTGCTTGCTGCCGGCGATGAGGAGACCAACTCAGAGCAACGGCCGGTTGCCGAGAGGTCAAGGTGGCAGCCTACCGCTCTGGTGACTCGGGATCGAATCCGGGGATTTTTGGGGGTGGTCCGTTCGAATGTGTCAGCCCCGTCCCTCACCACTCGGTCATCCCATTGTGGGCCTGGTCGAACCCATAATTGGCCTTCTGTAAGAGGCCTTTTAGTTCCCACGGGGCGAAAAGAGTATTTAAAAAAATAGACTAACCGAAAGCTGTTTGACTCCTGGACGTCGTCTCTGCCGCTAGCCGAGAAGGAAACTCGTTACATGTATTCTGTTTTATTTTATTATGAGTAAAATGAAACATAGGGAGACTTTAAATTTGATATTCTCCCACTGAGAGATCTGTTATTAACTTATTACTAATAACTGAATGTTCTGTAATATGCATAAGTGCCGGTATACCCCAAAAAGATTATTATTTGCATTAATTGTAAATTCATTACTCGCGTTATATATGCAGCCGTAATATTGTCTGGATAACATTATTTTGGATATTATAGTTAGAGAAAAGATGGGGTTCGACACTAAAATCTCTTCTCTGTCGCCGCCAATTACGAGTGGAAGGGAACTACTCGGAATTTTATACCGAGACAAGCTAGAATGAAGTGTTTAATATTTTTATTGAGTAATAATGCTATCGATAAAACATTTATATTCGCTTTTTGTAATTCGTACATTTGAGAATAAAACGATATTTTTGTTAATGCAAAATTAACGATTCAAAATGTTAAATAACAATACTGCAATCGACTGTATTGTTAAAGATCCGTAAGTAATAATACTTAGTATATAGTTTGGTTATTAATTTCGTTTGGAAATTTGTTTACATCGTTCGTTTAAAATGATTATTAATATAAAAATATAAATATTCAAATGTCTTATTGATCGATGTTTATTTAAAATATAAATATCGGGGTTTTTTCATTTCCTAGGCTTTTGCTTGTCCGAATATAATTATTTATTTGTAAGATATAAAATAAATCTTAAAATCGAATGATATAATTATTTTTCATTTTTAAGTAACTTAATTAAGTCCCGCGACCTGCAAAATAATAATATTAATAACGCTGTGTAAAATATGCCCGGAATCAGTTTGGCGCCGGTTGCTGACCCGATCACCGTGCATATCATCGATACCAGGGGTGGCCAACCTTTTGCATACCATGCGCCAATTTTTTGATAGACGAGTTCACATGCGCAGTGGCGTATCGTGAGTGTTAGCAGCCCGGGGTGGAGAAAAATTTCGGCCACCCCTTATTTAGGTATTTCCATTTATAAGACAAAAATTCTGATTTGCCACAGAACAAGCAATGAAAAATGCGGTTGCAATGTAGCTACCCGTATAAAATAGTTCTATATGTGATCAGTGGTGTACATGAACACGAATGCATCGTACAAGCAAAGAAAAAAAAAGAAAAAAAACAAGGTCAACAGGTCGGTTGCACCGAAGCGCCACTTGTAGTCGTCCAATGCGCCAAGTTTGTCGCATGCGCCACGTTTTGGCCACCCCTGATCGATACCATCATTGTTCATTCTCATGGGAAACAATCGGGTGGTTTCCCATTGCCTTCCTGATCCGTTGATTAAAAACGGTTTCGAACGTTAATAAATAATCCATCAAACTCGGTCTCGACAAATGTGTTTTCTTTGCAGAGTGCGTGTATAAAAACGAAATAAAAGAAAATTACTTTCGAATTCCACGACGATTAATTTGTGATCGATCCAATCCTATTGAAAAGTTTGACGATCAACTGTTTATCGAAAAGTATAGGCTCTCTATAAGAACGGTTGTATGTGACAAAATCAAGCACCTCTTGCCATCATATAATACACCTATATCACCTCTGTTGCAGTTATTACAGTAGAGCGTCGATTATCCGAATCGATTGGGGACGGGTTATTCGGAAGATCGATGTTTCGGATAACCGATTATGTACGAAAAAATATATTAATTTATCCCAAGGTCTTAGATTATCAGGTTGCCTCATAGAGAAGAAACGCTTCTCATTGGTTGCTTATTTGACGTCACTCGTAGTCGAAAACGAAACATCTTACTATGTCCNTATGAGGCAACCTTATAAATATATGACCTTGAATTTATCTTATCTTGACATGTTCTCCGTTGCGTGTCGCTTCGCGTTCAATTTTCGTCGATGTTAAACCTAACGAAGACTATTGTATCGTTAAAAATTATTTTTTTATTTTGTACGAACAAAATAAATATATTGAAAAATATAAAAACAATAAAAAAATTATACTTTAGAAGTTAATTTAGTATCAAAAACGTAAAATATTTGAGTAGCCCAAGACAAAGCCAAAGACTGCAGCTCCACACAGCACTGGCGAAAATTTAAATTTGCTGACTGGAATTCTTTCGGATGATTGACTTTCGAATAATCGACGCTCTACTGTAATTACTTTATGTTTTTATATCACTGGAAACTTTTATCGCAAAATGTGAGATCTGACTTCAACATGGAAATCAAGCCTATGTAGGATAATTAAAACTGCATCTAAAGCTTTGGGAGCTTTTCAAAAAAGTACATGGCATTTCCATCGACGATGCTGGAATATAGAAAAGTCATTAAAAATTTTACGATATTTCTAAGTTTTCAGGTGTTATAGGTGCTGTAGATTGTACTCCGATTCCAATTACATCTAACGGAACAAATGCAGAATTATTTAGAAATAGGAATGGTTATTTTTCAATCGAGCGAGTTCAATGAACAGCTGTTAGGAATACGATAATACAAGCTTTCAATGAATGAGAAATATGTAGTTATTAATTTCTTATTGAACTTTGTGTGTAATTACAGACTTTGATATGCATAATTCGTAAATAAAGCATCATAAAATTCAAATAAAACTTCTGTAAAGGAATTAAGTTTTTGTATAAATGAATTTGTTTATATGTTATATATATGTTACTGTGAATGACCGATATCTGGCGAATGTCAACATTTTTTGGTGAATGTCAGCATTCACACAGTCGTTGCGGGTATGTACAAAATATTTGCTAAATATCATTATTTCTCACTTACACCGGCAAATGTCGACATTCAGCATGCACTGATAGTGAATGTTGAATAAAAGTATTTTTATTACGTTAAGACAAAAATGCAACTTTTTAATACGTCAAAATAGGAGAAAGCTTAAGTAACAGCAACTGTTGAACCTAAAACGAATAGTACATTCTAAATCATTAATTTAAAGAAAGTAATACAATAATAAACTTACACATAAATTATGTGATTAACGTTATAAATCTAATTTATTGCAACAACTTAAACTGTTATGGCACTTTGAATTGCACAAGAGTCCCTTGCTTATACAACTGCATTTATTCGTGGAACACTTCTTTTTGCAATGACAGCGTGTATAGCATTGCCCTCCACTTTTTGAATTAGCTACAGCTGCTTCTCTCAGTGATATTTCTTGAGAATATCATCTATGGAAAGTAACTTTTCTTTACAAATTACGAACTCATTACGAGTATAGAGCTGCTTCAGGGTACCATTTTTGTTTGCTAATTTATAAAAGTCAGAGTCTTCTATTCCAAGAACAACCGCCAACGCATTTCGGGCACATGTACAGTACGGCCACGGTCGACATCAGGGACTTGTATTCGTACGGTATCACCAATTTGAACAGAAGGAAATGGTGAAGAATTTGGTGACAGACTGTCGCTTCTCTGTCGACATCGGCTTCTCGGCTGTCGTTTCGACCTTCACCAAAGCTTATCTGTGTTTGTCGACATACACCGGCGATTATTCGAATGTATAATAATAAAACCAAATATTCAGTCTTACACCAACGTATTTTGTATGTGTCGACATTCACCGGAGAATATCGACATTCTGTAATTTCGGTCTTTCACAGTAACATATACATATACAGTATTAATATGATTATGAGCTGTGTTAATAAGTTAATTAAACTTAATGCAAACATTATAGGCAGTATTGTATTTAATAATAAACAACAAAAGTTTTTTACGTTAGTTAGTTAGGAAAATGTTAGTTTTTCAGATTATGCTTCGAGTTTTTAGTAAATCAGTATTATAGAAACATATTTGTAGTTAAAAGGTACCAGTTGCGTGCCGTGACATTTGATGATAGGGAAGCTGTGTTTCTGTAAGAAGCCGACTTCCAGGGGCAATCAGTTAATTGCGCGTCAGTGATGGTCTAGGGCAGGGGTGGCCAGCAGTTTTTGTCCCCGGGCCGAACCCGAGGATGCCCTAGGAAGATTTCGAGGCGGTGCGAGATGTCGTGGCGGTGTCACCCCGTACACACTGAATTGTAGATAGAGATTACAGATACATTTTTCGCATCATCGTGCTTTATCGACACTCTAAGCTGTACTTACGAGATTTGTAATGGAGGGTTAACTGTAAACGCGCGGTGAGTTGTTGACCTTTTTTTATAGGCATCAGAATTTTTGGACTTGAGTAGCTAATATTGAAAGATTGATCGCGAGCCACATAAATTCATTAGACGGGCCGGATCTGGCCCGCGGGCCGTATGTTGGCCATGCTTGGTCTAGGGTCCATTCGTATTCGTTTGTTCGTTAATGTCAAATCGCATCACTAGTATACCTCAAAAGACGCCACAGGGTTGTAAATTTTAAACGTTTCTCGCCATAGCTTTAAAAATATAAATACGTTAAACTGAATAGATTATCCGTCGTTTGTTTTCTTAGCGATCTTATCGTTTTTCTCACGTGTAGTATAGAAATTTGTAATAAGATATAATAAAATATTAATTAATTTTAATTAATTCAAAGTACGTTATAATATGAAAATAATCGCGCAGTATGTCTTTATATTTTAGAAAATACAAGGGAAGCGGCGTTGTCACGGCACGCCACTGAAAGGTACAGAACTCGATAGCAAGAATGAATAAAAATTGTTATATATACTTTATATCTAGTCCTTTTGTTTCTTTTCCTTCAAAATGTTCATTTTAATTTTTAATCATTAAATTAGCCTATTAATTTTGAGTATGTTATCACGCTAAGTCAAAAAATTCCATACGATAGTTAGTTTGGACTTTCGTTAAATTTGAATGTGTAATTAGAATAAATTATTGAATAAAAATTATAATTTTTAACAAAACCACTATAAAAATTAAATTTATTAATAAGATGTTCAGGCATTCTCTTACTTTAAGAATACAAAATTCATAATATAAATTACTATTTTTTTTACTGCTTTTTAATTTTTCTTGCAGTAATTCTATTTTGAATTGTTGTTCTCTTATTTGTAGAGCTTTTTCTTGCAGGATTTCAGTCATGCTCTGTCTTTCTTAAATCTTCTTATTTCATAAAATTCATTTTAGCTCTTTGCTCTTTTCTTAAAAAGTGCATTTAAGTTTTGTGATATTCTAGACCAGGCATGGCCAACATACGGCCCGCGGGCCAGATCCGGCCCGTCTAATGAATTTATGCGGCCCGCGATTAATTTTTCAATATTAGCTACTCGAGTCCGAATAGCTCGATGAAAAATTCTGACGCCTAAAAAAAGAAAGGTCAACAACTCACCGCGCGTTTAGCGTTAACCCTCCATTACAAATCTCGTAAGTACAGCGTACAGTGTCGATAAAGCACGATGATGCGAAAAATGTATCTGTAATCTCTATCTACAATTCAGTGTGTACGGGGTGACACCGCAACGAGATCTCGCACCACCTCGAAATCTTCCTAGGGCAGCCTCGGGTTCGGCCCGTGGACAAAAACTATTGGTCATCCCTGTTCTAGTGCATATTTATCAATAATTTGAAAATTACTGCCACGATTATTATTAGGTGGTTCATTCGTTGTTGGATCATCAGAAAATTCTGACAGATTCACTAGACAAATCCTGTACGAGTACCTGAAAATATGTGATATATAAATGAACATTATTTTAAAAGTAATATAGACCTAGAAATTAATTTCTGTTTGGCTAATTAGTGTTTAGTCTCAAAACATTATTATGATTAAAATACCATAATTTATATTAACGTCAAATTATAATTGTTGATACAAGTTTTATTACTTTTATGCTAATTTTAAGTACTGAGTGTTCTATATACAAACGATCCCTAAAACATAATTTTAAAAATAAAGGGGAACTAACTATTGATTTTTTCAATTGCTATTGCAGTAATGCGGGAAATTCAGCCACATTGTCTGAAAATAAATACAAATATTAATAAATGAAAATTTACAAAAAAGTTATAATTATTAACTGCTTTATTGCTGTTTGATTTTGATTGAGTATAATTAGATATAAGGAAATTTACTTTGGACACAGGCATTAAAATCAGCATCACTATTAACAGGATTCGAGAGGAGCATAAATTGTTCGGGGATTAAAGAGAGAATTTTTTCTGTAATAGGACACTCGATATCGGCACATACTCGTCCTGGCTCGCTTATTTGATTCCACATCTCGCTTTCTGCTTCAAATTTTTCAAGTTTACTAACCTCCGGAAACATTAAATTCTTCTGTTAGAATTTGCCACGTCTCAGTTTTTTCTTTAAAGATATGGCATTAGTTTCTTTTGATTCTACCTTTATGCTTTTCTACTAATTCCATTACATATTCTGTTTCCCGATGAGAAAAATCGGGTTGTCGACTTTTGTTGTCTGCCGCGTTTGTATCCAAGTGCGTAATACGTCTTTCACAAATATCTAATCGAGTAACGTGTAAGAAAATTTTCTGGCAGCGCTAGTGTCGAGGTTATTGGATTCACTGATCCTGTTCTTAGTAATTTTTCGCTAAAATTTGCTGCTGAAATCCTCGGTATTAATCTAATCGCTGGATTTACAAATACCACGATTAGGCAATGTCGGTGAAACACCCCGTTAGTGTATCTCTCTCTTACAGTTTTTTCGCAGTCGCTTTCAACTTTGTTTCAGTTTTTTCAAATAGTGCGTTTTCGGATTGTTTGGTATTACGAGAAATAATTTCGTAGATGGCGGTGATCCGAAAACGTTGGAGAAGCACCGTTGTAGCCATCGTAGTCTGGCTTTGGATCGTCTATCCGGAGACGAAGACTTTTTCGTTCCGGCAATTTTTGGTGGTTCTAAAGAACGCCACTACCGAGCTCCGATATCTATAAAATTGGAACGGGAACGGTGGCATTTTTCGTTTACCACAAGCGAACGCGGCCGGCATTTATAAAATAAACGGCAGACGTCTAAAATCTAATATATTTTTATTTAATTCAAGAACGCCAAGTAATAGAAATACGCATTATTGACGAATGATAAACTTTTCTCGCGGACAGGACCGATCGGACCCTTCGGGTGTGGACAAAAGCTTTCTGGACGTTCCGTTCGGAGCCAGTTTTGCCGATCAGAACGATTCTTTCTACTCCATGAAAGACATTCCCGGATTGGACGGATTTCTGTTTAAAGTGGACGCCCTCTATCGGGTAAGTGTTATTTCATCGTTTGGCGGCTCCGGACGCTCGACGATAGTGCCGCATTGCGCCGCCGGCTGCAGGGCCGGGCCAGCGCGTAGTACGGTACTTTTCCGCTAGACGAGCCGAAACTTTTTCCGCATTAACCACCGGCCGTTTAAAGCCCGGTACTCACACGCGGCAACGGACCACGTCCCTTTTGCCGTCGAAGCCCACCGCAGTGGCGGAACGGCAAAAATTAGACCAATAGGAAGGCCGTTTAGCGATCGTAACGATTGCTAAACGGCCTTCCTATTTGTCTAATTTTTGCCGAGGTCGTGGTAACGATCACGTGGGACGATAGTGTTGGAACTACGGCAGTGGACGAGCTAAAAAGCTTCATTTGTACACTAATACGCTAATGTATTTGGTTTATACGCTATGTTAGTATCCGATTTAAATATTAATGCCAAGTAGACTTACTGCGTAAAGTATTGGGAATGGAGTAATCGTAAATCGATATTCCTAACTTTCGACGATTTAGAATATTTTTCCTATCCAAATTATTCGGTTTTGAGGTTTTTCATTTGCGATAAGATCGAAAGTAAATTTAAAAGGTTTAATTGATATGACAAAAAAAATCCGGGTAGACGCCATTTTCGACACGTGCGACTAAATAGCCAGATGGACAACGCGCCGATTGGTCGGCCGAATGACGTCAACCTACTGGAAATGTTGATCAATTAGTCTAAACTTTGTAAGAGTTTTGAGAGAGGGCAGGCGTTATAATTATAGACATTTCATATAAAACACGATAAAAGACATTTATAATTTCACTAGCTCTTGCGTGTATTGACATTAATGTTAAAATTAAACTAAATTACGTGACATCAAAGATTTTAATGTCCAGAGAGTTTTAAACATCAAGAAGTAACTTTTGCCTGTTTTTCATTTCAATAAAGCATTTTTGTACATTTACTATAATAATAAAATAATCAAAAACAACAAATGTAAATTGAAGTTTTTTTTTACATTCATTTTTAACCTTACAGAAACTTGTATTTAATGTTTTATATATACAGTCGACCCCCCCTATAAGATCGTTGATTTTTCCGTTTTATCTGAATTACATGTTGTACGAGTCACTTAGATTTTACAAATACGTGTGCCGGGCTGTGAACGGCTCACATATTTGTAAAATCTAAGTGACTCATACAACATGTAATTCAGATAAAACGGAAAAATCAGCGATCTTATAGGGGGGTCGACTGTATATTACAACAGAATACGCTAAGTGGAAATGCAGATTAGTTAACAATTTAATATAATTTTCACCTAAACATAATTCATAGTTTTTAATGCATAATTGTTAAAACATTTTAAATAACAACTTATTTTTTCTACAAATTCTCTAATCCATTGGTTTGCTTTCCAAATCAGATTCTGTGGAAACTTAATCACTTCGCTTTATATTTTCCTACGCAACACGAACAAAAATAGCTTACTATGAAAACATTACAGTACAAATGCAACATTACTTTTTCCTTGCATTTATATCGATAAACAATTTCCACGGTGAAATGCGTGGAAATTCTTATTTAAAACATATATAACTATTATATTCAAAGGAATTTAAATATTTACAGTATTATTGATTGTTAAATAATTTATACAAGAATTCTATACTTTTAATTTAAAAAATGGTCATACAAATTTGATTAAACATACAGTATTTACAGATACAGTATATCTATTATGGAACTGGATACACGAAATTTCTTTTTTATATTAAATTTGAAAAGTGTTGTTTCTTAACACAGATTTTAAACTGACATTCAAAAGCACAAAATATCTATNTCTGAAACCCGTTTCTAAATGCAGCGCTGCAATGTAGCGAACCGTTTCTAAACGTTTGCTGCAAGAGGTCGCTGCAGCGAAGATAAAGCAGCTTTTACGTCCGCTACACGTGTAAAGCAAAATGGACGCTTGTGTGTATAATACGATATTATGCTGTAAAAATAAAAAAGTCGAAGTGACTGTTGATAAAAATATTATGGAAAGATTAAGAAGGATTAAATTTTATGAAATGACTCTGAAAGTTATCTAAAGAATAAGAAAATACTATATTTTAAATATAATTATATATCTTTTATCTATTACTTTGTTCACATTTATGGAAAGATAAATGCTCGATTCTTTATATCTCTTTATTTAAATATTGTAGTTCTTTAACTAAAGCACTATTTTCGGCTGTAACTGGAATTAAACGATAGATTATGAACGTCCATGTTTCGCTCGAGCGGAAAGCGTTTCTAAACTATGATGCAGCGACGTGTAGCGATAGCTGCTCGTGACGTCATTTACGCTGCACTCTCGCTGCATAAAGAAACGCAGCCCAACTAAAAAAATAATCTATTTCTGCGTGACTTGGTTCTGACCACCACAAAATATAATCGACCGGCATTTCCTATTTCGGTGGGTAGACGTCATTCGGCCCACCAATTGGCGCGTTGTGCCATCTGGATATTTAGTCGCACGTTTTTCGACTACTGTAGTAGCTTGTTTATACTTGCGGCTGGCAGATGGCGCGTTTCAATTGTAGGATAATTTCCGCGTGTCGGTGCCAGGCTTAAGGAAACGGGACCGGCCCGGGATAACAACGCGAAACCGTCCGAGTCGTCGACTATCCGTATTCGAATCTTACTCGACTTTCGACAATGCCAGGCCGGAGGACGCGATCGGCGTTACGAAGGTGCCATACCACTTTATAAAGTGAAAACTCGGCGCCATACCGCAGTATATGGCAATTCCGTCGTTCGTACCGGGTGAGATATCGCGGCCCGAAAATACGGCCTAAGCGATAGGTACTGTACCTGTACGGCTATTTTCCGAGTGTCGGTTCCAGTACGATACGGTAATAAACGAAAAAAAGCCGACGAAACGTGGATAAAAAACTTATTTTACTGCATTTTAACCAGAGGAAAGGGAAGAAACCATCCAATGGAAGTGCTGGTATAGGGGGAATAAAGTCTTAATAATTAAATACGGTCGATTTTTCATGTGGGCCCGTAGGCGTTGGGTGGTTGTACTTTCACAAAACAATGGGATTTGGTATAAAGTTACGGAAGAGACATATTTATTTGGATGCGACTAAACTCCGAAGACGAATTTGTTTGGCGAATGGTAAACGAAGATTTACCTGGTGGGAAGGCTGCGGACGGGAGGGATCCGCACGTAACGAGGCAAATGTAATTTGTTTAAAACACTCGGACCACGCCTCCGGTTCGGAATGGCGGGTTTTCTTGTTCCGCGGTGGTCTCAGGATCGAATTGTTTTAAAATTGCCTACTTTATATCGATTCCGCTAGACGTTACTCCGCCGCTACTACGTGCGTCGGGATACGGACTTAGATTTACGGGAATGTTTCTTCCGCTAGGTGGATTCGGGACGTCGCTGGTATCTGCAGGTGGTATACAACATCGGCTCGGCCCGACGCCGCCACAGAAAGGCCAGACGAACGGAGACCCGAACCGGCACCGACATGCGAATGCTGCGGCTGGCCCCCGACCCCTCCTCTCCCGCCTCCGGTCGGACGGCCTACCCCTGGTTGGGGGTGCCGCTGTCGGCGCTGCTCCTGCTCTTGGCGGTCTGGGCCTACCGTCGGAGGAAAGCGCTGGCCGACCGCCCCCCGACGGACGAATCCCCGGAGGAGGGCGAGAGCGACGGTTTTTTAACCGGCGGCTCGAGTGCCGGAACTTCCGGCCTGGGACGCCGTCCTTCCGGGACGGAAGTGTGAAAGGCCGAACCGGAGCGGGAGGAGGTGCGAGAAGAAGAGACGGAGAGAGCGTTCCGGCGGCAAGGGAAGAGACAGAGAAGATTTTCGCACCTGTGTACATTATTTTTCTTAGAAATAAATTCTAATTTTTTCCCTTCTGCTCGTTCTTCGCCGGAGGAGGCAGCGGGAAGGAGTTGCTCCGAAGTTTATCGGACGGCTTTCGCCCGGGATTTCTTTGTCTTACGTGTACCACCTGCGCGGGTCGCCGAGTGCGGGCCGAGCACGGACGCCATCTCGCGGTTGTTTGTTCGTTAAATAAAATGACAATAACCATACGAATCGTTGCTTCTGGGAAGTTCGTCGTGGGTTCGCGCCACGGTCGGACAGGCTGGCTGCTTGGAGTTTTCCGGGTTTTCTCCTTGCCTATAACGACTGAATAGGAGAAACTGACATTCAAAAGCACAAAATATCTATTGATAGAAAGAACTGTCAATCCTAACTAAAGCATTAAAAAAATTTTTTGATGAGAGTAATCTATGGAGAATAGGCCTATTCTTTATTCAAAATTGTTCCACAACTTTTACATTTAAACTTTATAATTTGTTAAACAAGATTTTTGAAAACTTCTCTTTCAGAGGTATACAAAACTTAGCTAATTTTATTGTTTCATCTAACTAAAATGCGTGTGACAAATTCAAAAAATCATCTGACTCGTCTTAACAATAAATTTCATCCTTTCTCGAATTTTTTATAAATAATATCTGTAACATATTATAAATTTTCTTTTATTCATTATCTGCGCACGTATATTTAAATTTAAAACACTAATCGCGCTATTAAAATGATCAATTGTATATGATTTGGTTCGGAGGTACATAAAGATCGAGTATGAAGTTGAAATTCGTTCAAAAAAATCAATAATCTTAGTAATTTATTAAGTAAAAGTAAACCATTTTAAAATTATTCCTATAAATTTAAGAAAACATGCCAGCTAAACTTTATACTGTATTTTCACTTTATACTCACTCAGTATTACAACTAAAAAAATAATCTATTTCTGCGTGACTTGGTTCTGACCACCACAAAATATAATCGACCGGCATTTCCTATTTCGGTGGGTAGACGTCATTCGGCCCACCAATTGGCGCGTTGTGCCATCTGGATATTTAGTCGCACGTTTTTCGACTACTGTAGTAGCTTGTTTATACTTGCGGCTGGCAGATGGCGCGTTTCAATTGTAGGATAATTTCCGCGTGTCGGTGCCAGGCTTAAGGAAACGGGACCGGCCCGGGATAACAACGCGAAACCGTCCGAGTCGTCGACTATCCGTATTCGAATCTTACTCGACTTTCGACAATGCCAGGCCGGAGGACGCGATCGGCGTTACGAAGGTGCCATACCACTTTATAAAGTGAAAACTCGGCGCCATACCGCAGTATATGGCAATTCCGTCGTTCGTACCGGGTGAGATATCGCGGCCCGAAAATACGGCCTAAGCGATAGGTACTGTACCTGTACGGCTATTTTCCGAGTGTCGGTTCCAGTACGATACGGTAATAAACGAAAAAAAGCCGACGAAACGTGGATAAAAAACTTATTTTACTGCATTTTAACCAGAGGAAAGGGAAGAAACCATCCAATGGAAGTGCTGGTATAGGGGGAATAAAGTCTTAATAATTAAATACGGTCGATTTTTCATGTGGGCCCGTAGGCGTTGGGTGGTTGTACTTTCACAAAACAATGGGATTTGGTATAAAGTTACGGAAGAGACATATTTATTTGGATGCGACTAAACTCCGAAGACGAATTTGTTTGGCGAATGGTAAACGAAGATTTACCTGGTGGGAAGGCTGCGGACGGGAGGGATCCGCACGTAACGAGGCAAATGTAATTTGTTTAAAACACTCGGACCACGCCTCCGGTTCGGAATGGCGGGTTTTCTTGTTCCGCGGTGGTCTCAGGATCGAATTGTTTTAAAATTGCCTACTTTATATCGATTCCGCTAGACGTTACTCCGCCGCTACTACGTGCGTCGGGATACGGACTTAGATTTACGGGAATGTTTCTTCCGCTAGGTGGATTCGGGACGTCGCTGGTATCTGCAGGTGGTATACAACATCGGCTCGGCCCGACGCCGCCACAGAAAGGCCAGACGAACGGAGACCCGAACCGGCACCGACATGCGAATGCTGCGGCTGGCCCCCGACCCCTCCTCTCCCGCCTCCGGTCGGACGGCCTACCCCTGGTTGGGGGTGCCGCTGTCGGCGCTGCTCCTGCTCTTGGCGGTCTGGGCCTACCGTCGGAGGAAAGCGCTGGCCGACCGCCCCCCGACGGACGAATCCCCGGAGGAGGGCGAGAGCGACGGTTTTTTAACCGGCGGCTCGAGTGCCGGAACTTCCGGCCTGGGACGCCGTCCTTCCGGGACGGAAGTGTGAAAGGCCGAACCGGAGCGGGAGGAGGTGCGAGAAGAAGAGACGGAGAGAGCGTTCCGGCGGCAAGGGAAGAGACAGAGAAGATTTTCGCACCTGTGTACATTATTTTTCTTAGAAATAAATTCTAATTTTTTCCCTTCTGCTCGTTCTTCGCCGGAGGAGGCAGCGGGAAGGAGTTGCTCCGAAGTTTATCGGACGGCTTTCGCCCGGGATTTCTTTGTCTTACGTGTACCACCTGCGCGGGTCGCCGAGTGCGGGCCGAGCACGGACGCCATCTCGCGGTTGTTTGTTCGTTAAATAAAATGACAATAACCATACGAATCGTTGCTTCTGGGAAGTTCGTCGTGGGTTCGCGCCACGGTCGGACAGGCTGGCTGCTTGGAGTTTTCCGGGTTTTCTCCTTGCCTATAACGACTGAATAGGAGGCCAGTTCCCCATAAAAGTCCTCCCGGAAGGCATTTATTTCCCGCGCGTACGTATGGCTGTTCGATACAGCCGGCTAATCGGTCGCCTAGCGATCATACACATACACAAGTCTACTCGGAGAAAGAGCCTACATTGAGCTAAAATCTCCATATAAACACCATCGAAGAAGAAGAAAGAGAGAGAATCGTTGCTTCGCCTACAAACGTACGACGTATTTAACCGCTTTATCGGGAATCGACGGTAAACCGGGTGCGGCCGCCTTTTCTTTCTATACCATACGAGTAAGTCACTGTGTAAAAAGGTTAGAGTTTTAAAAAAGACGTGGCGGCCAATCCAAAATATCGAACTTGGGGGGAAAAGTCCGGAGACGGAAGGAAGACCGAGAAAAATTAATATTAAAGGGCGATATTTTCGGTCCGCGCTTTAACTCACGTATTTGCCATTTTTGTCCGAATACATTTTTCCGCTCGGCTACGTTAGAAAGAAAAACAAGTATAGTTTTGACAAGAAATTTAAAAAAGGAGAAGATTCCGATGCCCGCTAATAGCAATGGCAAATAAAACCTCCCGTGCCTCGGTAGTCCGAATACCGCACCGCTGGTGCCACCATCGCGCACGTCGTCGAAAGATTCATCGAGGCCGGGACAGAAAACGCCGTTGTCATCGGGCCTATCGACTGGCCGAGAGGAAACTTGCCGATCATTTTTCATTTGTCTATTTGTCGTCATAATTTTTTGTCTATTTTTACGTTTTTTATTCTTCGGTTTTCTCTTTTTCCTTCCGTTTCTAAGACGTTCCCGAAAGAATCTCTGACTCCACTATCGTCCGGCACCGCTCCCGGTACTCTTATCTTCCGAAACATAATTCCGTAAACTTGCCGACGAGGGCAACATGGGGCAGACGCCCGGGCGAAAGCTACCCTTACTTTAGCTTCGACCCCTAGCTCTATCCCTTCGAACACTTTATTTTCGCAATCCGGCCAACAAAACTGAGAAAGCCGGTGGCCCGAGTTTGCCAAGTTACTTTAGGATTAAAATATTTACTATGCCGTCGATGCCCCGGCGACTGGCGGATCGAGAAAATTGGTTCCGACACACTGCCTTCGACGGTAAAATGTGTGCCCGGGAAACTCTTCGGTTAATGTTACCAAATTTGAGAAACACGCGGTGCCTACTTTTAACCTCCCCTCTCTCGACGGCCGGATGGCCGAGCGGTCGAGGGGACCCGGAATCGAATCCGGACGGGTCGAAAGGTTCTTGGGAATTTTTCGGGGGGTGGTCCGTTCGGATATGTCGGGCGCCGTCCCTCACCATCCGGTCGCCCTATTGCGGGCCCGGCCGAACCCATAATGGGCCCGCTATAAAAGGCCCTCTTAGTGGTCACAGGGCGGAAAGAGTATAAAAAAATTCCCCTCTCTTACCCGTGACGAGGGAAAGTATCGAAACGGCGTCGGATGTGATGGTAATCTCCACGTCGCAGACCGCCGAACTCAGTTCGATATGAACAGCACAATTAATTGTAAATACAGTAGAACCTCGATTATCCGGACCAATTGGGGATGAATGTTGTCCGGATAAGGAAAAATTCGGATAATCGAAACAAATACTTTAATTTGTCTTTTAATGATAATACAACACGTTTTCTTTTCGATGACATATCGGTAATATTAAAAATAAATACTGTATTTAAATCGTGATCAAATTTTCAAGAAACAAACGTTCGTATCGAATTTGGACTACCACTGACCAGCGCTAACAGACTACCTATTGTTTAAAAGGCCTCTGGTGGCGCAAGAAGATGGATTTTATAAAATAAAAAGCAGTCGAAACTGCATTTTTACGATTAGAAGTTTGACAAACTATTTATCGTTTTATGACGAGGTAAATTTTTTCGTCGCGTTCGCGGCTTTTAAGTAATGGCGCGAGACAGGCGGTGGCCCACGTCGTCCGTGCCTTACGCCGCCCTTGGTCATAGAAAAGATGTAATTTGAATATAAATTATTTATAAATACGTATGTCAAGTTATATTTTTATTACGACGTAAAATATATTTAAGAGTTTATGGTCACTGTGCTGGGTGAGACGTTGAAACAAAAAAAGTTATTCATTCCATCACGTACATAAACAATGTAATTCGCCAAGTGCAAATCAGCAAATTCGTAAAATGTTTATTTTGAACAATCCGGATAATCGAGGTTCTACTATATATGTTTTTCAAACAGAAGTTTATTAGTTAGCACCTTTTTTTACAAATATGTTAAAGAAAAAGCCGACGGAAGAGGGGCGTATGCCCGAAACGAGTATCGGTGTGTAAGATATTCCTGAATAAAGAGTGATGTTGAAGTTGCCCAGTGTCTACCTACGCACCCAGCTGTGAAGTAAAAACGAATTAAAAGAAGACACGGTTTCGGGATAAGTCGGGAATAGAATCTGTAGCGAAAAAGCTGGACGGTTCCGAACTTCGAAGCTATTGGCGAAACGATAAAATTGACCGGAA